GTTTTGCAATAAACATTGAACCAGTCCGGCCCTCCACTAGTACCCATTTTTTTTTATTTTGGGCCACTGTGTATTTGAGTTTGACACCCCTGCTCTAACATGTTCCTTTCATGATCATTAACTTACAAAAACTTTACATCACCTAACACCTTCTTATCTCAGCGACTGCTAGGGGTGTAACGGTTCACATAAGTCACGGTTCGGTACGTACCTCGGTTTGGGGGTCACGGTTCGGTACGGGTTTGTTACAACAAGAAAAAGCAAAAAAAACTCCCAAATGCATAATTCCAGGTTTGTTGTTATTTAATTTTGAACAGTAGTGCACGTTTCAGTTTAAAAAAAAAAGAACTCTGACATTTTGAATAATTAACTGTATTAAACAGTTAAAAACAAACCACAAACAATACCACACACTATGGCCCTTTCTCATTTAATCAAATCCCCCTCCTCGACTCCTCGGTCCTCCGGTAGTGACCCGGATATGAATTTCAGCGCGCCATGTTGAAGGACATCTAATTTCTCTAAATGCACTTCGAGGACCGAGGATCGAGCGTCGAGGAGGCTCTCTGGAGGAGCTATAACCGAGGATACACTGATGGGTCCTCCACGGTCCTCCACGGCTCCTTCGTGGATGCATTTCCGGGAACAGAGATGTTTCAAAGAGTCGTGACGCACGGCCGGACTTATCTCAGCCAATGACAGCTCTGCATGCATCCCCTGGATATTATTTTATTCTGCTCTCATCGCGACGCGATGTTTACAGTGAGAACAGCTGTGAGGTCTGTGCAGAAAGCAGAGCAGTGTGTATAATATATATCACTCAGTATAACAGGCCTACTCTCTGTATTTGCTTTAGTTTAGTAGATATCTACAAACAAAGAGTCGATATTTTTCTAAAACCATTTAGTGCTTCACATGTGGGAGGGCTTAACATTCCTCTATACTGGTCTTAGGCAGGTCGTAGGCAGGAAGCTGTAAGCTGGAGTCTGAAATGAAGTGCTACATCTCTAGGTGTGTGTGGTACAGTGTGTGCATATGCAGCGGACAGACAGGTCTCATTTGGTTTGTTGTCCTCTGCTTACTTTTAATAGCCTATTTGTAAATAAAACTTTTGGCCCGTAATTTATTTTCCTCATTGTAGCGACCAGAGAGGGGAGAGGGGAGGGGGAGGGGATATATCCAGTCTCTGATATTGTTACGTTATTATGAGAGTGCTCTGTTTGATTCTGAAATTGTATATATTTATATAAATACATACGTGTGTGTGTTTGTGTGTGTGTGTGTGTGTGTGTGTGTGTGTGTATGTGTCCGCATCTGTAGCCTGTTATTGTCTCATTATACCGCACTGTGAATGAATTAAAAGTACATATATAAGTCGTCATGAACACATCTGTCCATCAGACAGAGGGCTGCTGTGCCTCCTGTCATCATTAATGGTCATCTCTTTAAAATGACCACTCAGAGGAGAGGAGTTCTCATTCCTCTACCTTGTGTGGAAAGGTAGAGGAATGAGAACTCCTCTCCTCTGAGTGGTCATTTTAAAGAGATGACCATTAATGATGACAGGAGGCACAGCAGCCCTCTGTCTGATGGACAGNAGCGTGTGACCGCCAGCATCGGCAGCAAGTTGCTGTGACTGGTCCAGTTGGATGGATTTGGGTTTTGAGGTTAATGAAAGGTGTTGAGGTTGGTGTGGGTCAGGGGGGTTTGTCAGCCAGCCTTGTTATGCTAAAACAACAGTTGCATTGATCAAAACGTGCTCCACCTTCCACCCTGGCTGTGGATCCAGGACACTGTTGCTGCCGCATTGTCGGTCATCCTTCAGTGAGTTTTTCAAAAAAGTGTGTTTGTTGATGTCTACAGCAGAGGGGATGGAGAGGGAGGGGAGATGCAGAACATGTGGCAGTTTGGTGACCCCTTGTGGCAGATACTGTAGAAGCACACAAACTCACACAAAACAATATTTGCATATTAAGAACCTCAGAAACTCACACCAAGAACTATTAAAGATCACAACAAGACAAGTTAACACATCTTCTCCTGTCTGAAACAAGCCAAGCCTTAATCATTCATCATACTGTCTCTGATAAAGACCTTCTGGGTGGTGACTCAGAGAGGAAATGAAGACACGGCTCTATCAATCAGTCCATCAACTGCTGGGAAATATGTATTTGTCTTAATATGTAGTTTGATTCCATCAAACCCATTTCACGGACCATTTCCTTATGCAAACAGAGAGAGTGGAAGAGTGTGGTTGAGGCTCACTCACAGGAGAAAACACTTCTCGCTGTGTGTATAGTATGAGATTTAATTGAATAGTTTTGCATCAGTGCCAGGAAGTTAGTTGGTGTGTTTGCAGAGGTCTGTGTTCTCGCTGATTGAGGGCTTGGTTGTCTTTTTTCCCCTGAAGCAAGTCAATACTTGGCTCGAAACAAAGTCCTTCTCAGGTTTCAATCACAGACAATCAGCGAGAGAGAAACTCACAGAGGTAGTAGGTACATCAAGGCAGATTGGAAACAGTCGTACGCCTCCAGGCCGCGTCCTAAAAGTGCCAGAGCAGCACAATAACAACAGCTCAAATGGATCTGCAGGCTATTTCTGGAAGCGAGCAATTCAGGATATCTCAGCTCAGAGACAGAAAATGTCCTGCGTTGAATAGGACAGGAAAATATATTTTGTAAGCCATTGAGTTATTAAAAAATGATAGGCTGATTGATTTTGTGCAACTTTGGTGATACAGGAATTAAATAGCATGAAACAAAGAGCCAGCTCACAACATTTGACAATGTAGGAAACATGTTCCCACTTAAAGTAGGTACGCAATTCATTTCCACATGACATGACCGTTTCAGATAGATCACGCTTTTCTTACCACGAAAACTGAAAGGACACAAATTAAAACGAAAGCTGCATTAATAAATGAACTTTCAGAGGGATACATTTTTTCTGCAGTGAATTATTTTAACAGCGTGAATGCCATCACGTTCGGATATTGTTTTCTCAGTTTTTCTCCTTTTCCCTGTTTTCTCCTCAAGCACATTGGTTTTCAAAAAAGCAAAGAGGCATATTTCACTGCTTGCTTAGGTTGCTACACCACACAAGTGTGAGCAAGCAATCATACATATTTAAACTGTTCCCATATCTGAGGTAAAGGCACTTCAGGTTTTAGGACAATTTGTGGTTTAGCCGTCAAAAACACAAGCCAACTCTTGCACCTTTTTTTGTTGGCAAACAGCAAAAGGGTGTGAAATGACTCGCTTGCACACGTACCAAATGTCTGAATGATAATTACAACTGGTAATTTGATTTTTCAGTAATACGCCCGGTTCTTAAAGGCAAGACGACTGCTGCAGCAACAAGTGTTTTCGGAGAGTCTTCACCACATATCCATCAACACCAGTTTCAAAGGCTATGATAAGAAACATCCAAGAATCACCAACCACAGCCATACACTGACACCTAGTGTGAAATCACGGACACTGCACATATCAGACACGGACAGGGACCAGGTCACGTAGGCTCATTTTAAACAGAGCTGCTGTCTGCACGACAATGTAAGGGACAGGAAAAAAAAGTACAATTAATCTGCTGCTATGATCTAAAGCTTCATCAACTTATCTAAGACAGGAATATGACAACGCTTAGACACAGATATGTCATAAAGTAAACAAGGTGATGGCACAGGGATACAAACGTTGAATATGATTGGAGATAGCAGTGATGATGGTGTAATTTTTTGTTGTGTTTGTGTGTTGTTTATGTATTTAATGTGGATGTACTCGTGTGAATGGCAACTGCTATCTCTCCATGTCTGCCTGTACACTGTGAGAGCTATTTGGTCTAGCACGGCAGATAAGAGGGTGATATGGAGGCTGGTGGGTGTGCTGGCTATCTGCCTCCCAGACACCAACGTAACAGGGTCACTCAGGTGCACTCTGCAGGGACAAGTGCAGGAGCAGAATAGGAGGAGATAAAGTAGGAGAGGACAGAAAAGGGTGGAGGTGAGGGAGGTGAAATGACAAGGGGAACAAAAGAGGAGATGGAGTGGACAAAGGACGGTCAGCAGAGGAGACAGACACTGTACAGAGAAAGAGACGTGTCATGAACTTATCGAGAATTTACACCTTTAAGCGTGACGGTAGAGTGTATGTGTGCACATGTATAGGCGTTACTACGTGTATGCAGTTCAGGATTTGTGCACGTGAGCCCACTCCCCTCGCTTCTGTGGTGCTCCAATTTGGCCTGGTGGGCGGGACAAAACACCCACAATGCCGATTGTTTTCACAGCACACACACACAGAGGATCAGGCCGGCGTGGCACACTGGCACCAGATATTATCATGTGTGCCACTGCTGTTTTTAGATTCATTCTGATTTCCTTTTTACAAAGACGAAGCCTGCCCTAATCCCCTCATGTGAACCTGACTAGGGACAGAGAAGAAAATAAACATTGGAGACTCACTTGTAAATTACAGTTACAGCAAAAACAGACTCTTTCAAATGCGAGTTTATGAAAAGTCAGAACTGTCACGAGTCGTTATAGTAATGCAATGTAGTTTTAATGTTGATTAGTAGAAAAAACTACTTTTCAGGCCTAGAAAACCCTTTTAATCCATAATTTTGCATGGCAACCTTGATCCTGTAACTTCATAGCGTGAAGAAAATGCACCACGTACAATCAAAAAACAGGTCATTCATGTTCCTTAGATATCATACCAGTTAATAGCTAACTGACAGTAATTATACCCCGTTAATAAAAGAGTTGAACAAAAGACTATACTATAAAAAGTAGGGCAAGGCATATTTGAAGGCCCTCCAATAAATGTAATACAGCCAGAGTATGATCCTCCAGCAGTATGCCATGCAGCCAACAGACAGCTTTGAGCAACTGTTTGTCCAATACTGACACCCCTGACAGACAAGCTGCCACACAGAGGGGTAAATGTGAGCTGAGAGGAACCCTGCCAGGCTGTGGCAGCTGCTTCAAACGTCTCTGAATCAGGCGGCTCTTACACACAGCCTTTTGAGGAGGGAAGGGTCTGTGTCAGCCCCTGTCACTGGCAGGTGAACACCTTAACATTACGGCCAGTTTTGGGCTTTGGATGGAGAATAAGTGCTGGCTTGAGATCATTTTGTGTCATAAGGATGAAAGAATGATAGATCGACTGTACATGGATGAATAATAGATCAGTGAATATTTCAAGCAGTAGAACCTTGCCACAAACAGTTAATCGGTTTTAACCACAATTAGGTCGCGTCATAACACTGCAGAGAGCCAGCCAAGCTATAGCCCACATGAGACCACAGTCTGACACCAGCTCAGTGTAACACCATCTCCTCTGCTTTTTGTTGGAGTCAGGTAATGAGCCTGTAATGAGGCCATGAAATATTGATAACCACCCTCACCTAACACTGGGCCTCTATAGGGGTCCTCTCAACTCAAAACAGCATAGTAGAAACAAAACATTTACGCATCTCATGCTGCTGAAGAACCAAAGATGAGCAGTATTGTTCTGATATTGTATCTATATTTGATTAACACTAAGGTACATAGTTAGGCTATATTCTGCCATATAAATGTTCCTACTCTTTGTCAGCCTTGTAGTTTGTTTATTAAGAATTTGCTTTATATGTTTGCTGGCAACTAATTGTTCTTGTTTTGTTTTCTTGTTATCTGTTACATGTTCTAAAAAAAAAGCACAGTTTCATATCAAAAATAAAACTACAACAGTGTAAAATACTCTGTTAAAGTAAACGTCCTGCATGAAATCTTATTAAGTAAAAGATACTAAATAACTGGCATTAAAATACACTTAAAGTACCAAAAGTAAAAGTTAATTCAGAATCATGTATATTCAATTACTGCATTGTTATTGTTGATGCATTTTGTTCACTGCAACTGGTAAATGTAGAGCTACTTTTAATAACCTTAGAATCTAATATATAATCTGAATCTGTAAAGTAACTAGTTTTGTCAAATAAATGTAGTGGTGTAGAAGTAAAAGGTGTCTTAAATTCCCCAAAGTACCCCGAAATCATACAGCACTTGAGTAAATGTACTTCAATACAATACCACTGATAAACAGCATTGACAATAGTGAAGAGGGATGAAGATTGAGACTCAGACTGAGAGAGGAAGAAAGAGATGAGAAAGGTTAGTTAGCTATCATTAACTTACCTCAAATACTGCAGTGACGAAGACAGCAAAGTAAAAGAGTGTGTGCTCTCCCCTTGGCTGCTCAGCTTCAGTAGATATCAAACTAATAACACCTACATCATGCCTTTCACACATACATCCATGCTTTCACAGCAAACATAAATAGTAAGCCATGTTTGGTTGATAAAGACAACACGTGAAGTAGCGGTTTGCTCTAGTAAGCTAGCATTATCCAAACTTAACCTGTTATTCACTGAGACGCCAACCAGTTATTGTTACGTTTCATATCGATAACTTATGTTGATGCCTCTTTTCGGTCCACATGTTGGTCTTTCTTGCTAACGAGTGGCTAAGCTAAAGTATAAACAAACTGTACTCCTGAGGCAGGTCGAACTGGTCGCTAAGCAACGACAAGCAACCAGCTAGCTCATTAGCAACCAGCTAGCTCATTAGCGACCCTGAAACGCAACTAGTTAGCTCAATAAACAGACATTACATATGAAAGCCTGGTTGTATAGCATAAGTTGTTCAAATATGACCGATAGCACCCCTTTCTTTTACGGGATAACTTCTTCATTTTTGACAAAGAACTACATTACCTAGTATTCAAAACTACAATTACCCGGATGTAAAATCTGCCGTCAGATGTTTGCAAGTGTCGTGATGCTCTCAGGACTTAAATAGGTGTGACCTGCTGGTTGAGCGATAAGTGGGAGTGAGAGCAGTTCAATCTACCGTCTGAACATGGTGAGTACAGCTAGCGAATATATCGGTTTATTAGGTATTTGGTATTGCATGTCTAACGCAGATTAAACCACAGTTATTCCGGTTGTAACGATGAGAATTTCACAAACGTGTGCAAAGTTATTCAAAGTTGATTTGGACTATTCTTGCATTCTGGCTGACAGCATGACGCAACCTAACCGTTGGAGTTTATTACATTTGATGTATCCTTTTGTCACTTGTGTAGCTACTTAAGTCATTTTCAGGGGTATTGAATGACAAAGATGGCGTTGAACTTGAAAAAGTATATCCTGCATTTGATATGCAACATTGAGACTTGTATGGAAAAGCACAGTCTATTTTTAAAGTGACCCCCCCCCCCCCTGCTTTAGTAAATCCTGTTGACAAGAATAGACACCCAGTCAGGCATCCACGTGCACTGGACAATTAAAGGGTCACTGTCATGCCCCTCTGTGAAATCAATGCTAATATTACTAACAGCACTGTTTTTTTTACCTTTTGCCTTGCAGTCTGAGCCTATTAGAGTTCTGGTGACCGGCGCTGCTGGGCAGATTGCCTATTCCCTGCTGTTCAGCATTGCCAAGGGAGATGTCTTTGGCAAAGATCAGGTAAGGAAAGGCTTTGTCATGCTCTCAATTCCCTTATCTCATTAGGGAGTGTAAGTTCAGTATCACAAGAGACACACAGGACACCAAGAGCCCCAGGCAAAACAGCTGTAAATATCACAAATGTTTACAGTTCAAATCTAGGGGTGACAGTGAACAGATATTGCCCCACTGAGAAGTGATCAGATTGCACTCACGAGTTTAAGCGCCCTTTGATGAGCCAGGGTTGACCTTGAAGTCAATGAAATAGATCTTGTACGAAGCTCTTAGGCCAACTTAAAAATAACTTGATCTATTTGGCGCATGCAGTGATCCAAATGGCTTAAAGCCTCCACACTGTTCCAGAAACAACTAATTCCCTACTGGCCTGTCATTATGCCTGGGAATTTAGATGTCAAATACATTAATAACAAATTCCAGCATGTTTTTGTTCATTTCAAACCATTCATCCTACTTCCTTCCCTCTTTCTTCTGTCAGCCAGTCATCTTGCTCCTTTTGGACATTACACCCATGTTGCCGGTCCTGGAGGGTGTCGTCATGGAGCTGCAGGACTGTGCCCTCCCACTTCTGAGAGGTAACAACTAAACACTATTAATAACATCATAATACGTTATTGAAATACTTGAATTGAATATCACTGTTCCCCTTAACATCCTGTCATTGGAGCAATTGTAGTTACAAGGAGATTCTGGGGTAAAGATAAGGTGCACAGTTTTTTTGTTTTGATTTTTAAGTTGTCTACACTTTTTGAATGAATACAACTTCTGCCTGGTTGTCCCAAGAGAAGGTTATTCATATTTGCTGTAATGTTTTGATAATTGGCACCAAGGATATCCTCTCTTTGTGTCAAAGGATTCCGGTCTGTGTTTCCCAAACTCACTCATTTGCTGTTTATCATCACTCTTTTAAAGAGTGTTGGTACTTTACCTCCTATTTCCATCCTATCCTTTTGTTACTATACTATTTATATGGTAAAGCCTATTCATTGTGACCATATGCTGTCTTCTAAAAGAATAAGGTATGCTAAGGCACTGATGATTGTCCGCTTATGATATCCAGTGGTAGCTGAGCAACTGATCCCACCGAGGCTATATGTCAATCCCATGAAGGATTAAACATGCATAAATACATTTAATTTAAATGATCACATAATATGACCAGTATAGGACGGACAAATGTTATCATACAGTAGTTGCTGAATCCGGAATAAAACATTGGGATGCGAATAAAATCTCTTTTTATACGTTACTACACCTCTCAGAATATCATTCACCACTTGGTATCCAGCTCTCGTAAATATTGGAGATGGATACATTTTAATGCTTTGGATTTTTGTAATGCTTTTTCTCCGAGGACCAAATATCTGTCACTGTAAGAATGCTAATAAAGGTTCGGACTTATTTCCTTCTCAAAGACACTTGATAACTATATGCACTGGTTTTTATTGGGACTTTTGGTGTCATCAGTGTAACCGCCATCATGACATCAGTCGTGAGGCGCCATTATGTGCCATCTCCATTGTGACCTGGAATCTTTCCTTTGTATTGGTGCTGTCCTTTGCTTTGTTTGGACATGGGATGTGAGAGGCCCCTGTATTAACCAACTGTGCTGCAAAGACTACGCTTCATGCACTGAGATTGGCCCAGCCGTACAGTACTGCTCACACATGGGATACAGACCAAATGTGTGACATTTAGAAAGGGTGCAAAAGGTTTTGGATGAGAAATGTCCCAGTTATGAATTGTCAGACATGTGGACTGACAAGACTTTGGCTGCTAACTTGGTTTCCTCTGGTATGATTGTTTAAGGGAGTGGATCATTATTTGGAATACCTGATGCAAACATTAATTCAATACAACTGAGAACCTGTTTCTGTTTAACAGTGAGACCTGGCCTAGAAATGGCACTAATATGAGCTACAAATGGGCCCAAAAATGTATTTTTGCTTTAGAGATAGTCAATACCTGTGTGTCATGTTCAGGTGGAAAACAAAAATACTGAAGAACAAAAATAAATGTCAGTTTAGAAGAAAGTTGAAACTCCTGGGAGCTGCCTTAGCACGCCAAGAAACAGATGTGATTTTCTTTATGCTTAAATCTTCAGAAACATTGCAGACATTATCTCAAAACCTTGACGGATAAAGTTAGTAAAATCATTGACAAAACTGTAAAACCTTGTGCTTCAAGTTTTATCGTAAAGTAACTTTTTGTAAAGGAGTAAACAGTGTGAATTAATGGTTATAAACCTTCAACCAGTAATGCTTTCCCTTTCTTTCTCCACAGAGATTGTCCCCACTGACAAGGAGGAGGTGGGCTTCAAGGACCTGGACGCCGCCATCTTGGTTGGCTCGATGCCCCGCAGGGAAGGCATGGAGAGGAAGGACCTGCTCAAGGCCAACGTGGCCATCTTCAAGAGCCAGGGATCCGCCCTGGAGAAGTACGCCAAGAAGACTGTCAAGGTACTGAGAGGCAATTTAGACCTGCACATTTAACGACACGCCCTCTCCTTTTTTTAACTTGTGTCGAAGGCTGTAGATTAAACTATTGTGCTTCTGGCTAAATTGCTTGTATTGCATTGTTTGGATGATCGCCATTTTTCAGAGCCCTCTTGTTGCTGTGTAAAATATTTGTTCTATCCTAAAAAGCCTATTACAAGTTTGCTTGTTAAGAGGATGTGTAAGAATAGCATTTTGATCCTACGGCAGCTTTTAAATCAAGTTACTCTATCCAAAGGAACAATATGAATACTAATACATTTTATTTTACTTTTTAAGGTACACAAAGACCCTTTACATACAGATTAGAATTCATAACACAGAAGTAATTTACAGATTAAAATGACAGGATTATAAGTGAGCTGTTACAATAATGAGGTTACATTAAGTTAGAAAGGACGAGTCCCTATGGTTTTATTTTTAATTTGTTGTTGTGTTTTTAGGTGCTGGTTGTAGGAAATCCAGCCAACACCAACTGCCTGATTGCAGCCAAGTCTGCTCCCTCCATCCCCAAAGAGAACTTCTCCTGCCTCACCCGTCTGGACCACAACAGGGCCCGCTCTCAGGTAGCATCCTTTAGACTACTGTTTGTACTTCCATCTTGTCTTTACATATTAGATTCCCAGACTTTAACCTGACTTTGTTCTCCTGTCCTGCAGGTGGCGATGCGCTGTGGCGTCCCTGCAACCAATGTGAAGAATGTGATCATCTGGGGCAACCACTCGTCCACCCAGTACCCCGACGTGCACCACTGCCTGGTCAAAATGCCCAGCAGCGAGCTCGCCTGCTTTGATGCCGTCAAAGATGACGCCTGGCTCAAAGGAGATTTCATCGCTGTGAGTTGAAAATATTGGACTGTGAGATATATTTCGACATGGTTCCTGTGACTGATGCTTAAAATGCAGAATATGAGAAAACCAATACTCTGCAGGTCTGCTAAAGTATATGAAAATCACACGGTTCAAAAACAAAATCTGATGACATTTAGCCTGGCCTGTCAAACAAATGTCACATGACAAAAACACAGAAACATACTACATCAAATGTATTTTTATGTCATTTGTAAATCTTGTAAAGAGACTGAAAGTGACAAAAGTAATAGTTTCAGAATAAAAGTTATTTCATCTTTCAAATATGTATTTTAAAGGTGGGGTAGGTAAGTTTGAGAAACCGGCTCGAGATACACTTTTTGTTATATTCCATGGAATGCTCTTAACATCCCGATAGCAATGAATACATGAAATGCTTTGACAATAAATACATAAAAAAATGTCATCTGTGGAAGCCGTGGCGCTGTAAAAAGCACGACCAATCATCTGAGCCGGCCCGGCTAAAATAACTGGATGGCCTACCTGCCTGTCAGCCTTCCATCTGTGCACAAACTTATCTCGTGCCCTCATTGGTCATGTTCGTTCGTGTGTGTTGGAGGAGGGGCTCTGTAATGAACTCTGAAGCAGATTTTTTCCGGCTGTGTATTTTCAAATTCTTGCGCATTCGAGCTGGTTTCTCCAAAATTACAGACCCCACCTTTAAACCTCCATAGGATTTGCAGACATTATCTCAAAACCTTGACAAATAAAAACAAAACTAGACGCACAGCTTAATAACACTATCCTGATAGGCTCAGTTATTCTGCTCACAATCCCATTGACTGCCACTGTTTCATGTGATGGTCCATGTTCCTGTTTTGCAGACAGTGCAGCTGAGAGGCGCTGCCGTCATCAAGGCCAGGAAGCTGTCCAGCGCCATGTCTGCAGCCAAGGCCATCTGTGACCACATGAGAGACATCTGGTGCGGCACCCCTGAGGTAAACACCATATTTATTTATACTACAGTAATGACGTGAGAATGTCTGCCTGTTGCCATTCTGTTGAGAAGTGGCTGTTACTTAGTGAGCAACAATAACAAACACAAATCCCCAATCCTCATCCCAATGAAACAGAATATGATTTGATGTTCCTGTAATTGAGACTGATGTAGCTTATCGAGGTATTTATATTAAGGGTTGTATACAGTATGAAGGTAGATACAGTATTAAGGGTGTGCCTACATATTTGTGTTGCCTACCTGAGAGGTTAGAATTGTGTGCACATATTACACAAACCATGGGGTATTCATGTCTTCATAAATCTGAGAAAAAGAGCACACGTGCATATTTCTCTGTTGGTGCTCATTCATGAATTTACACCGAGTTTTAGGAGTGTGACAAATTAATTATCTGGCTGTTTGTACTGCTGATGTTCTTGGTGCTAGAAGAAGATGAAGTCAAGTCTTGTGTCTTTGATTTCAGACGCGTTACATTGTGCTCTGGGAAATGTTAGCGTTAAGTGTTTCCTAATCTCTGTGATAACCAAATACCACTCCCGACAATCCTATTTGAAAGGCTGTTTCAATCAGTATCTCCTTCTTTTTTTCAGGGTGAGTTCATCTCCATGGGGGTTTACTCCTCTGGGAACAGCTATGGAGTCCCTGAAGACCTTATCTACTCATTCCCTGTCCAGATCAAGGTAAAACTCATCTAACCTTGTTATCTAATACTGTAGCTAGCATGGAACTACGTCATTTCTGTCGGAAGCTTGTGTTCCAAAATACAAAACGTACAAATGTATTTTGTTTCCTCAGGGGAAGTCCTGGAAGATTGTGGAGGGTCTGACCATCAACGAGTTTTCCCGATCAAAAATGGAGGCCACAGCAGCCGAGCTGATCGAGGAGAGAGACACAGCTGTGTCCTTCCTGGGAGTGTGACTAGGCCCGGCAAAGCCCACCAACCAACACTTAGACAGACCCAACACTCCGGACGCACGCCTGTGATAAAGCACTCCATAAATCCCTGCATTACTTTGTGTGTGTATGTATAGGAGAGTGAGTCAGTGTTTATGAGTGTAAAGATGGAATTACACGTGTGCGTTGGGAAGCTAACCCTTTGCACCCTTATGTGCACCTTTTTCAAAAATGTAAATCAGCTACAGAGCTCTCGGACGGAGACAGTAATGGGTTGATTGTACGTTCATTCACACATTTAATGGTTGTGTACATTTTCTGTCTACTTTGGCTATTGCAAAGCATATTGTTTATTTAAAAGACACACGAGACTCTTCACTACGCACAAGTATAACTCTATATTAAAAGTCCACCAAATTTGTTACAAGCTATTTTACAATAATTTTTCTCCAAGTGAAACATGGATGGTTGTTACATTTAGTCAATGATGTACTAAGTCCTCCAACACTGGGATGGATAACTTTTAAACCAAATAATAAAATATTAAAAACTCCACTTCTCTTTGCTGATTTTACATTAATTTTCAAAGTATGTTGATAATTTTATAGGAAAATGTAGATGTAATACTTCCAGGTTTTCTTTATGTTTGTACCAGGAAGTATGGAGGGTGAAAGTACCAGTTTATTGTATATCACTGTTCTATGCCCATAGGTATATAGACAACAATATCAAGGTTGTGTTATTGATTCTTATTGATGCTGGCATGGGCGTCACTTTGTTAGAAAATGTGGTGGGGACAATTTCTCCAGATTTAACATCAGCATAGCAGAAGACAAAAGATGTCCCTCTCCTGGGTGTTGAACCTCGAGCACCTGCATGAAAAACCAACTCATATACCTCTGGACCACCAATGTGTTTTTAAAACAATGAACGCCCAACTAAAGGTCTTGTTGTGATCTGATTAGGATTTCATTTGTACCTTTACTCACACAACCAGCACACGGGTATGGAGGACCGAACAGATCTAAAAAAGAAATGATGGATGAATACAGGAAAATAAATAAATACCAGAATAAAAACAAGAAAAAATTCATAAATATGGAAATAAAAAAAAGGAATATATAAATAAAAAAATATAGGTTGAGAATAAAACAGAAAAATAATTATTAAATATCATTAATGTATGTATACATTTATATCACTTATATATTTATTCATGAATGTGTCTGTGCCTGTTTCACACAATGTTGCTTTGCTTGGTAGCCTTGTATTCTGTGGATACGACAACATTTATAGCAATTGCTCTTAAAGTTTCAACAAGTGCACGTGTATAAACAATATATTTGAGTTGCTATAATATTTTATTTCATGTCCTCTGACCAGTCCCACTTTTATTTGGAAGCTTTGTGTCAAGTTGTATAACACAGTGCAAGGAGAAAAACAGTGACTCTTCTCTCTTCAATAAATATTTTAACACCGGGAATTTCCGGCGTATTCATGTGTTGTATAAACCTTAAAGCCCCCTGAGATAAAAGTAGCATTTGTGATATTATAATTTAAATAAACCCACTCTTTTATTAGAGAAATATATCTTAGTTAAGCATTGTATTGTACTGCATATAAGAAACTAAGCTACAGTGCAGTCATTGTCACAGTTTCACCAGGCAGGGGCAGCATTTCCTAGTTTATTTTACCCTTTACCCCTTGCTAGCAGCATAATAAATGATTATGTAATATTTGAAACTAGTCAAATTCGGAATGTTTCATTGTTTACGTTGTTTACTTATAAGGTCAATCATTTACAGGGACACATCTACTTAAACATGTTTCCCACTCAAGTGGTGGTGGCGTTCTGGCCAGTCTACTAATATATACACATATATGGATATACTACCAAAAGAACCCAGTACTTTAAAGCTCTTACCCAAAGATAAATATCAGTACAAATAGATTATCTTTTTTTAGGAGTATTTCCTATATCAACATTCTAAGTCACGGATATCAAATCGTACGTTGCAGAATTCTATTGGTCGACAGCTCTGCGTCACGGGGAATGAAGCATTTTCATTGGCTGCGACCTTCCTCGAACGCCTCTTCCTGGAATGTTACTGTTGTGTGAAATATCTTCCAATTAACCACCTTTTTAAAGTGTTGTTTTTAAACGTTTCACTGCGATGACCAAGGGGAACAGAAGCCAGATGATTTAGGGTGGAAAGCCTGTGTTTAATAATACTAAATATACCTCTGTATCTCCTCTGCGGGATTGCTGCAGGACCAGGCCATCGACTTTTCTTCAGCCAGCATCATACAGTCCCACAGTAAGGATTCCGGAACATCTTTAAATCTATTTATATAAAACATCATTTGCTTCTAGTTTTGCATCTAGTACAGTATTTCTTATTAGATCGATAATGGTCCTTTTTTCCCTTGTGCTGTGTTCCTCCGTACTGAATTGTCTTAATGAATGTGAATGGGTGCTCACTGAATGCTGCGTAAATGTTGAATTATGTCCATGAGTACATTCAGTCCACACATGTATCCATCCTTCATTTATCCCCACAGCCTCCTCTAAAGTCAGACAGGTCATGCGGATGGGGGTCACTAGTGTGCATATCACCGGTTAATAATGGACTTTTGTTGGGTTGTATAATACGACTAAAGGTAATAAAATGATACCAAGGGGCGAGGCGAAAAGAAAAACATTAGCAGAGGTAGGGAGTCATTTACAAAGGCAAGAATTGTGACGTCGTCTTAGGAAAATGAGAGGCAGGCAATAAAGGATCCTGCTAGACCCGAGTTATTCATGTTGAAGGACTTCATTTGGAGGATGCCCAGATAGATCACCGTGACCGGATGAATGGATATTTGGCTTTTAGGATACCTCAAGGAAACTTTTTTCAATATTAATTAACGCGATGTACCTTCAATGACACTTTCACAGTGAATGGAATATTTACCTTGAAGCTCTGTTTTTGGATTTCTCTTATTATTGAACTGTATGAGTTGCTGGAATGGCAGCTGAAAACATGGCACTTTATGTGGAAGGTAAGTAGTGTTGTGGAGAGTGTATTTAACTCCTTATCTTACATGTCCAGCTGTAAACAATACCTGTCCATGGCTCTGGTGGTTTAAAGGACAATACCTGTGTCTTTATGCTTCTTCCTTCATTAAATCATATCTAGGCTGTTGATGGAAAACATTTAAATCTGTTTTTCCTCACTTAAAAATGCAAACCTATACTGTCCTGTCAATCACTGGTTTGCATTTATGTCAGTAGTCTACAGTGTTAGACTGTAATTTTGCCCCACATGCTGCCTGGATATTTGGCTTTTTAGGATACCTCAAGGAAACTTTTGTATGAATATGTATGTGTACGGTCAATGACACTTATCTTAAAGCTCTGTTTTTGGATTTATCTTATTATTTAACTGTATGAATGGCAGATAGAAACATGCTAATTTATGTAGAAGAGTCGTGTTGTGGACTGTTACATGTCCAGATGAAAACATTACATGTTAGGCTCTTCCATACTTGTGTTTTTTATGATTTTCCCTTCACTTATCCATAACATAATAATCATTTCCCAGAGCAAACCACTTGTGAATCTGTTTTTACTCACTTAAAATGTAAATGTACTGCCTTGTCAATCCCTGTTTTTCATGTATTTCAAGTCTTCAGTATTTCAGACTTTCAAATCAAGTTTTATCTACATAACACATTTTAAAAACGATTTTTGGTCGAGCCAAAGTGCTGTACATGCAATAAAAAACACTTTACTGCGATAGCAAAGAGAAGACAATACATTAAAACAGTAAATTAAAATTAAAATCAATTCGGAACCTAATTGGAAGCCAGTGCAGTGAGGCCAGAATTGACGTGATGTGGTGACGCTTTTTGTGGCCAGTGAGAAGACGTGCAGCTGCGTTCTGCACTAATGCAGGCATCTAATGAGATGTTGCCTTACATGCTGTGTCTGATCCATCACATGACTTACCATGCTGTCAAAGTTGTGAACACTGTTTGAAGCTTTCAACTGAATAAAGCTCTGATATCTGAGTTATTCAGCTACATATATTTTTCCATACATTATCCTTTGTATCACTACATGAGCATTTTGATTGCCTACTGCATACCATATCTCTTGAATTGAGATGGATTATAAATTCTTAAATGGCGAAACTTTACATGTGTACATAAACACACCATTAAACCTCAAATATTTGCATGGACCTTTACAAAAATGCTACCAAGTGGCGTAATAGATATATTTACAGATCTGTTATTTAACAGCTCTGCTTTAACAGCTCTGCCTAACTTTCTTTCGTTTTTACCAAATCTGGAATGTACCTGGATTTTCTAGGTCAATATTTCTTTAGATCTGATTTAGATAGTCATGCACTCGCTGCACGGTTTCCTTACCTATCCAACAATATGTGTCCTGTGATGATCTTCAGTTGGCCCCTATATAGTGTGAGAAGATAATATAACTGTGGAATAACCTTGAACAGTTTTCCTCTGTTTTTAAGCTTATCTGTGTTTAAAATCTTTTGCTCCTGATAACAGTTAGTAAATGATGTCAAGATTTCAAAAGTCCAAATCCCTAAAACATGGCATTTATACTGATGACATGCGTATAAAAACCAGCAAATTCTCAGGATATATCAAATGTTTTGTTTTATTGCTTGAGTAATGACTCTAATTGTTCATTGATCATCAAAAATATTCTGTTGATGGACTAGTTGATTGGATTTCGAAGGTTCAGATACATTGTTTTGTACTATAACAGTATGGTTTGGTACTCAGCTTCTGTGATGTAAAATCAGACTAAAAGATGTACAGGAAAGAAATCCCAACATACAAAACAACTTTACAAGCTTTGTTCAGTGTCAGACAAGGTGAAAGCAGATGGTTTGAATGAATAACAAGAGTAGAAAATAGTTTTGAGGATCCAAAGTTAGAGCTGCAACCATTAGAAAAAGTAGATCCACAACTATTTGAATAATAGATCTGTAAAGCTACAAAGAGCTTTGGGCAAAATGCAGTTTTTTAACCACTCAAATGCTTTTCTCTGGTAAGCAACATAATAAACTGAATATCTTTGTTTTTGACTGAAAAACCAGACATTTAAAGACATCTCTTTGGACGTAGAGTAACTGGGCTGGACACGTTTCATTATTCCACTATTGTAATTTGATACACAGAACAAGTAGTTGATTTAAACAATCTGGAGAATAATCCATAATGAAATAATAATAATAATAATAATAATAATACACTTTATTTGTATAGCACCTTTCATGCACAAAGCAGCCCAAAGTGCTTCACAGAAAACACAACAATAATATTAAAATTAATACAGAACAAGATCAAACCTCTACTGTGATAATATGTTAAAATAAAACAATTTTAAAAAGAAAATTTTTAAAAATGTAAAATAAAAGCAAAGCAGAAAAAATACAGTAAAACATAGACAATGATACTAGTGACGATTGAAAGTCAATCCAAATGAAAAGCCATACTAGAAAAATATAGATTTTTAATTTGCTTTTAAACAT